GAAAATGAGGAAAACATTGATTGAATTACCATCTCTTATGGTCACGGAGAATGCGCCTTACCAAGGCCAAGTAATGGTACTCCCAATCTGAATTCTCCAATCTTTGAATGAAAGGGACAATTTGACCCTCCGTACGAGCGGAAGGCGTGCTCATAAGGGTTGGACAGTGCAGAACAACCCACGCCATAAAATAAGTATAGGGCAACCCTACCTTTGGTTTCTTGTTGCCTCGACAAAATTGATGACATAAGCTCCGCAATCCACAATGGATGCGGGCGATCATGGAGGGGAGAAAGGCATAAGAATGGCCATGTGTTAAACATACTGCTGGGAACACCACTTCCATTAGCAGCATGTCGAAACTCCCAGAGACAACGATGACTTGTTGAAGCCATAAATAAGATATCCCGCCAGCAACGCCTTGGAAGAGATTAGCTCCCCACTTTGAAAGAAATAACTCTCAAATGTGATACCAGCAGAGTAACCTTGTTCATTCGATTCTAATATGCGATGCATGGGTGGATGAGCAAGAAGCCGTCATGAAAATTCATTTGCATCACAAGGACCCAATGGCACCACAGGATCATTCTTATGCTCCAAATTCTTAAAGAGATAGCGGGCCCAGATGTTATGGCTGAGGAGCCTTTTACCCCTCTTATTGAGCCGTCCTTCCACATTCATGCAAATGTGGTAATGATACATTAACTCCCAAAAGGTCTCTACCACCTGGGATTGCTCTTTTTCTAGAGCATCTAACTCCCTTTTAACCGGGATGTATTCCTCATACGGATAATTCCCATTCGACAACCCGGAGACTTCATCTCATGAAGAGCAATCCCTATTTCTCCATCAGGGGTAAAGAAAGTATGGGTTGTAGGATTATATAACTCCAAAATACCAAAGAATTGGTGGGAGTTATTGACTAGCCCAAATTGGGTTGCCCTGATGGATGCATAAAGTCCAAACCTTTGCAGGTCTTCCTGATTCTCCTACAAGATGTATTCAGTGATACGAGGCACCATTACGTAGGACTCCAATGAGACCAGCCAGGAGTCCTAAAGTATTTAGCAGGGAATTAACCCGTTAGCATAAAGAATGTATAACCAAAAGTGTCAGCTTCCTCAGTAGTCTCACCAACAGGGAGCTCTTTTTGAAAAAGCCCTGGGTACAATCCGGTGATGTAACGGCTAACGCTATCTATCTTAGCACCACTATGGGAAAAGTAGCCACACATAACCCCATCTTGCATTAGAGTTAAATCCCAGTCCATTTTCCTTGGAGCCGAGACGATCTTTAAAGCAGTAAAAGAAACGTCACGTTCCATTCGAGGCAAGAATAAGTTTCGCCCATTCACGATTCTAAGCCATTCATAAGTCCCGATATCCAACAAGTTGGGATCCTCTGAAGAGTCTCCGAATAAGAGAATATGCTTCACAATGGGTTTATGATTAATAGACTCTAGGGGAGCATCAGTGATCATGCACCTAAATGTGGAGATCGAAAGTTCAGAAAGAAGATCCACTTCTTCTGGTTCCCGTTCTCCAAATAAATGAATACCCTCAAGAGCAGAGTAATGAGGGTGAATTGCAGCCGCTTGAGTACGATCCACTCCGAGATCACCATGTTGGGGAAGTGGAACAGATGGATATACAACTGCACAAAAAGACGAAACAAAGTCAGTCTCGAGCAGTAGTCACAGCCAAAAGACACGAAGGTCATTCTAGTAATGAACTTCGAACTTCGTTCAAATGATGAACCTCATGTTACAACAAAGTGTCAAACTTAGTTGGCCAAAAAAATTTCATTCACTCGACAAATCTCGATAGAGAAATCGAGGCTCGTCAGTACAACAAAGTTCGTTGGTGAAAACGAAGTTCGTGGTTCATCACCTGAAAATCAGGTTCATCAATCCAACGAACGTGGTCGATGAAAAGACAAAGTTCATCATATAAATGAATTTTGTTTAACGAATCTAGAGGATGACCCTTGTCAAGATAGCCAACGTCGTTGGACATGTGAAATTTAACTTACAGATAAGATTCCTCAAAAGACGAGACGAGCCTCATCGAGGACGAACCTCATCAAGTAAAAAAGACGTCATCTTTATGATGAGTCTAGAGAAAACTGTTCATCTTCCTTAAGAAACCCAAGTCTAAAATAGACAGGGTTGATATCTTCCAGAACACAAATTGTGCATTTAAGATCTATTACTTGAGAAAGTAGGTAGAGCAGCGGGTTCATGTGAAGAGCCACCAGCCTTCTTTCCCTTGCTTTTGCTTCAATCTACAGCGGTCTTAGGGGCCATTGAGTTCTTTTGAAGAGCTCACAAAGGAGAAAAAATTAAAACTTTGGAAGAAGAATGCTGATAGTCCAAACAACGAAGAGAAGAAAGGACTCCTCATATGATGATGCCCTATATATAGGGGCAGGAAAAGGTCGAATCAAGGGTTACGATATCCGGTTGAGATCGTTTGATGAAATCTCTCCCTAACAAGATCTATGGACGGGATTCACGGAGATTTCTAAGCACCAACAACCATTCATTAGGTCTGGGAAAAGCGCATAGCAATATTGATGACGAAGCCGCAAGGTGTCATTTGTCAGGTGACTGTTATTCTGACAAGGCTCGTATAAAGGGACGAACTCCAGAGTGAACTGCGAGGTAATATTCATGTTGAATTTCGTAGCAAAGATGAAGTTCATAATGAAACTAGGTTCGTCAGATAAACTCTGCAAGTTCAAGATGCCTATTCAAAGTGTTTCAGACTACATACAACCCAATTTAAGTCTGAAAACTTTGAAGGTGGTTTTGTAGGCATTCAAAAGTACCAAATTCCAAAATATGAGAAGGATGGTTAGAAAAATGAACTTCGTGTCAATCAGAGACGAGGCTTGTCGTTTAGTGAAGATCAACCTTGAGAACGAGAGTCACCACGCAGCGAAACTCAACATCAAAAGACAAAGTTCATTATTGAATGAAACCGATCTTGAGACTTGAATCTTGTCATTGGATACGAGGTTCGAGATTCACTAGTGGATACAGGGTTCGGAGCTCGTCATTGGACACGAGGTTCGAAGCTCATTACTAGGCGTAGAGCTCATTAGTGAAGATGAGGCTCGTCAAAAAGAAACTTACAAGACTTGCTACGTAGTTGAATTCAGCTGTCGAAGACGAAGTTCGTTAATGAAAACGAGGGTCGTCAGACAAAGTCAGTGAAGATAGGATTCGTCAGAAGAAGCTGGTTTACTACAAGGGTCGCTTGGTAGGACGAACCTCGCTGCGTATCGAGGCTCGTCTTATTTGATTAACCCCGTTTCAATTAAAGATGAGGTTCGTCATTCACATGAGATTTATCTATAACATCTCCAAAGACTTAGTCAACCACGTGGGTGAATCTTCGGGAGTACGTTACGGCGTGTGCTGATTTGGAGGAGGCAGTTACGCCCCTCTACCCGTGATTATAGCATGTCAGTTACGTGCTTAAACCCTATAAATAGCCATGGATGGCTATAGAGAAAAGGGTTGGAGATTTTAAACTTGGACTTCAAGAAGCATCAGAGATCAGAGTTTCTTCGCACGGATCTGGAGTTCGAACCTCGATTCTAGCCGGTCAACGAACGTGAGAAGCTTTAGTGATCTTGGTCTAATCGTCAACGGGAGGCAATCTCGACTCAAGTATTGAGGGAAGCATCCTTTCGCTACCAAGAACCCACGTTAAATAAAGAGAAGCTGAATTAATATTCTCTTCATCTGTAATCGATAGAGAGAGTGAGTGATTGTAAGGGTTTCGTACCAAGCGATCGAACCTAGTTTTCTTAAAACATGAGAATCAATCCAACATCAGTTTTTTGACCCTACATATACATCTTACACACACACACTCAGGGAAAAGAAAAAACATCTCACCTTATACATGTCCAAAAAAGGATTGTGTGCTAATTGGTACACATTAAAAGCCATCTAAATTGAAAATTCAAGCTAAAAAATATGGCAATATCTGCCTACATTCATAAAGATGCATAAGCCCAAACATGTCCCCATTTCCATCTGATTGCAAAGGAGCTGAAGTATGCTACTACAATTTCAATCCAGAGTGGATGGAGATTACTCCACCAACAAGATTTTAATATTCGACCTTCTGGAATCCGGCATCAGAAATCATACGAGCAAAGTTCTCCTACAAAAATAAGAAAATAATCAAGACAAAGAAGAAAGAGCTTCAACAAAAATGGGAAAATACAACTAGTCTGCGGCCTTTTACATTTTCTTCTCCTGTTAATGGGGACTTTCAGGTATCACATATAATCATAGATAACATAAAGTTCCCACATGATTCGGTAATTTATGTGTCACAATTAAGCATAAACAGGACTAATTATAGAACGCGAATGTATCTCTACAATTTATAACCGCTAGTCAATAATATGTTGATTTTATATTTACATATCGAACCATTTTTAAGCTTATGGTACAATGTTGTCATGGTGACATACTTTCATCTGTGCCTTTGCATGAGCAGGGACTAAAAAAATGCAAAGCAAAACAGACAACTAATCAAGCCAAAGTAGCAAAACAACTTATGTCTAACCATGTTCATGCACCTAGAAGTAAGTGCTCGTTGGTACATTGGTTTAAGAGAGGTTTCAAATGGGAGATCAAACTCACTACAAAAGTAGAAGGAGATGAATATGTAAAGAACTAGTCTTACCTGAGGGGGGAATCGTCGGATACTATTGACCAAATACTGGTAAGAATCTCGATCACCAGCTACTAGCTCCCCAATAACTGGGATTACCGAGGATGAATAGTAATCATAACTGCAAGGGGAAAGAGAGACATTCAAAAACCGTTGGAATAGAATGCCACACCAAACTCCCAAAACAGCCAGACAAAGAACAAGCTAATGAAGCTATAAACTATTATAAGCATGACATTTTATTGTCATAAGACATAGGCTCAACAATTCCTTTAAAAAATAAAAAATAAAAAAACTTTCATTAACTAGATTAAATTAAGGAGTTGTCCAATTATGAGTTTATGAGAGTAATTAACAAAACTAAAAGATTGATAAAGTACCTGAGGATGCCGAGAGATGATCCTCTTGATCGAACCCAAGACTGGGAACCTCGTGAACGAACCCTAGATCGAATGGAAGACTGGGAACCTCTTGATCGTCGAAATTGCTTGCGGTGCGTCCGTTATTCGCTTGAGAGATGGGTCCACTGAAAAAGATGAAAACAACGAGCGTCAAAGCCCTAGCGAGAACATCTCTACCGCTCCCAGGAGGGAGGGGGGTTAGGTGTATAAAAATACTAATAATAAAATATATGATTCATATATCCTAATCTAAGAGGAGTTAAGATTTAGAAATTCACAACACGAGATGAGTACGTCGAGTGAATAATCCAAATAAGAAAACCCTTATATATATACCATGTATCTCAAATTGTGGGTTGATAAATATCAACTCCAAATCTTATATGTAAATAATCAACAAGAAAAAAAACATCACCAACACCTCATCCAAAAATATGTTGTATATATTGTATCGTAGTACATCACACTACCCTCGGGTAGGTGCAATGACAACAAAAAAATACAATCCTGTGTGGACCTCATCAAAGTATAAACCATCACATATGGAAGCTATAATGCTGGACCACATCCATAATCAATGCTCGCCAAAGTCCTAGGCATCCCAACGATATAGAGTGTAGTCGTCCGTAGTACCATGCAGTTCATATACTAATGCATTGGGAGTGTAGTTACCCACTATATCATGTGGTGCACGGACATGCGCACTCAACCACTGAAACAATGATGCATCACAGAGTGTAGTCACCCAAGTTCTCATGTGGTTCACAAACTAACACACTCAGAGTGTTCACCCGCGTTCTCATGTGGTGCACGGACTAACGCACTCAAGCATCCAAAACAATCGGAAGTCGAAAAAATCGTCACTCTCTATTGTGACAAACACTAAACACTAAGCTACGCACTCTTAAAGACCCGTGCATACTCAAACCCAATTCGTGCACTCCCATGGTCACGAACGTGTATCGACGTGCAGCTCGTTCTTTGTGTTTATGAACAAACATACGTGGAAAAATATCATAAGCAAAAGTAGCGGATTAGTCAACTACCCATGGGAATCAGTCGACTAACATTTGATCAGTCGACTGATTGCCCACCAGTCGACCAAACACGAACGTGCACAAACGTGCACCAACAGTCAGCCTCGATCAGTCGACCGATACATATGTCGGTCGACTGACCAGAGAGTAACTCTAGCTCCTACAGACTAATCAGTCGACTGATTTCATATATCAATAGATCGACTAGAACGATGAAACAAAAGTTCATCAGATTTCTAAAGTTAAGTGTTTTTCTCAAAAACTCGTGAATTTTTAACATGGGGTGTGAAACATGATTCAAAACTCTCATTTTCTTAAGTGGGAAATTGGCCTAACTAGTATTCATCAACAACACACACGGATTTGGGTTCAATTTTCCCTAGTAGTGAACTAATCAGATTTAACTTGATTAATTAGGGTTCTAATCCTAATTAATTCATCAATTAATATGTAATTAGGTTTCTAATCATCAAGATCATGTCTTTTATTATTTAGTAATCAGATCTAAAGTTCAACTCATAAATTTTAGGGTTTAAACCATTAAAAACGAAAATCTAAGGGGATGGGTTTGGGAAGAGATGAACTTTCCTTTCAAATTTATGTTGATCTCTCAAACATGAGAAATACTTGATCTTCCTTCACAAAGGTTGTATATCTAGCCCTCCTCTTGAACTTTGCTTCACAAAATTTATCCAAAATTGAAATAGGGGTTTCTAGGGTTTTAAGAGGGGGTGGTTACTACTCAAACTTGAGAGATGAAAGGAAAAGAGATAGTGAAATTCGGGTTTACATACATATATTCATATATGAGACTGACCCGACCCGAACCCAAACAAAATCTTCAGCTGTCGATCGGTCGACTGATCACTGGGGTCAGTCGACCGACCCGACACTGAAACAAACTTGACATGTTTTATATATATTGATGCACATTTACAGACACACACACACACACACACACACACACACATATGTATATATATATAATTGATCTCAAATCAATTAAAAGCAGATCCATTCATCCCAGAATGATCACCAACCATAACAAAACTCTATTATTATTATTCGCAAAAATATTTTCAAATTTTTTGGTTTACGTTCACCCCTTCTTAAAGAGAATTTCGTCCCCGAAATTTAGCAATTTATTATGAATCACAAGGTATGTGTCATACATGCAATGTTTACACTTAATGTCTAGAATGAGTATACTCCCACTTAACCTCTAATTAATCAGAACTAGTACGTCAGACAAAAAAAATCTGAACAAGGAACCCTCCATGTATATACTATGTGTTTCGAATGATTAGTTGTTAAGTGTTAATACCCACATTCCAGCACGAAGTGTAAATGTAACTATATAGATAAAATAATTATCAACAATATTTTAACTAACACTATATCTGCTCGAACAGATATGGATAGTCATGAAGCATATCTTCTTCACGCTCTCAGAAAGCTTCCTCAGCTCCTTTCCTGTTCCACTGGACTTTGACTAATGGAATTACCTTATTCTGGAGTTTCTTGTTCTCCCTGGGAAGCATGCGGACTGGAGTTTTGACTGAAGTCAAATCCGTCTGAAATTCTAATTCTAGCATATGAAGCACTATCTGTTGTTCTTCATCTCATAAGTGATTCTTGAGCATCGAGATATAAAAGATATCATGCACACCCGATATCGATGCTGGAAGGTCTAGTCGGTACGAGACAACTCCCGCACAACCTACAATTCTGAACGGACCGATATATCTCGGGGTAAGATTTCCCCGTCTGCCAAACCATTTGACACCTTTTATCAGTGATACTTTTAACAAAACATAGTCTCCAACCTGAAATTCTAAGGTCATCACCTCTGATCTGCGTAATTCTTTTCCTGACCCTAGGATGTAAAAATACGCTTCCGAATTAACGCTATCTACTCTGAAGTCTGTCTAACAAGATCTGGCCCAATTAGTAAGCTATCATCCAGCTTTGCCCAACAAAGCAGAGATCTACAAGGCCTCTCATACAATGCCTAAGCCATACCTATAGTCGATTGATAACTATTGTTGTAGGCAAACTCAATCAATGGTAAGTGATCTTTCCAACTGCCTTGGAAATCGATCACACATGCCCGAAGTAAAATTACCCTAGAGGGGGGGTGAATAGGATAATAAAATAATAAATGTGCAATAAATAAAATCCAATGCAACACAAGACACAAATTAAATACTAAGGCAATAAATAAGGAGGAAAGTTAGAGAGTAGTTATCTAAGATGACACAGGGATATATTCACGGGGTTCGGTCCTCCGACCTACGTCCTCGACCACCTCTCCTGATGGTAACTTCACCATCACACCCGATTTGGAAACCGAAACTTCTTCACAAAGATCTCCCCACAACATCTTACAATCCTCATAACGATCTCCTCGAGATCAATCTCACCACACAATCACAAGATGAAATAAAAGAAAACTTCTCACAACAATACTATGACAAGGATCAAGAGATAAATAAATCAAGCTTAGGGGTTTGTGAGATGTAGAATTGAGAAACTAAAAACTTTGAAACAATTGAGAATAAAGATTTAAAAGTTTGAGCTCAAGAACACTTAGAAACAAACGTAGGGATTTTTCTGTGCTTACTTGATTGCTGAAGTGAAGAGGGTCAATGGTTATATATAGAAGCTCCAAATAGTAGCCCAAATCCCAAACAAATCACCAAATCCCAGATTTTTAGCTCAAACTAGAACTAGCTGTTAACAGTGCCATCAGTCGACTGATACTGTTTATCAGTCGACCGATGAGCTGACCGTTACAGGCTGCTCATCTATTATCGGTTGACTGATGAACTCATCAGTCAACTGATTACCTACATCAGTTGACTGATGGGTCATCAGTCGACTGAGTAGAAACTTCTGCTCTTTCCAGTGCATTTCGTCAATCGACTGATAACAAGTATGAGTCGACTGATAAACATGCAAATGCACTGTTCATGATTAAAAAATGAGTTTTGAAGTGCCTTTACTAATAGCAACTAAAATCCAAAAAATATGAAACTTTGGAAAATTCTTATAAACATAAATATAAACATGTTAGAAAAGGAATTTTCAAAAAATCATTTCCCAATTGTAAAAACTACTCATTTTTAAAAAATGGTTAAAACTTGTTTTTATAAGTGTGTGTATGTGTGAACCCCAATCGCTTTAAATGTTATCTACTTAATAATTTGTCTACATTAAGCTCTATAGAGAAATAAAAATACAAATATCTCACACATATGAATATAATTCTTTTGGCTTTGATATTTGCTCAAATGGTGATGAAGTTTCTCTTGTGTAAGTTGCTCTTAAAAGCTTGTCTTCATCAATTTGCCTCCACCTCCTTGGATATCATCGTTGTAGCTCATATTTATTCCAATCCTCTAATAGTTGACACTATCTTACTTGGCAAAATACAATCTACACAATATTACTCAATCAAGCAATTAGCACCACTAACGGTGTTTGTAAATCATCATCAAAACAAGAGAACTAACAATCTCCCCCTTTTCGATGATGACAAACCACCATTATTCAAGAGCATGAATAAAATAAAATTTTAGCTTATAGATAGTTGCTCACCCTATCTATAAGACTCTCCCCCTATCTATGTGCACAAATTAGGAGATTTCTCTTCCTCTTTGTCAACATCAAAAAGGGGAAAATGAGACAATATACACATGTAAAAAAACCACAAGATACTCCTCTAAGTGTTGGCCCACCCGTGTCACATTCTTCAAGTGCTCGGATTTACAACCTCTCCCTAGGCTTTACTACTAATGCCTCTCCTCTTAGAATTGACATCGGTCTCTCCCAACCACTCGTCTAAGTATCCTTGTGTGTTTAAACATGTTTTGATAATGTAGATCACAATAAAAACATGTAGATATGAAATTCATAGCGTAAAACCAACAGCAAGCAAAAATGCATCAAAAAAATATACAAAGAATGCACATGCCTAATTCATTTCTTATAAGATAAAAATCTTCTTCACTAAGGGGTTTGGTAAATATGTCCGCTAATTATGATTTTGTGTCAATAAAAACAAGAGAAACATCTTTCCT